CAACAGCTAAAAAGTAAACGTAAGTAAACAGCCAGAAATAGAACCAGAGCTATATATATATATATATATATATATTTTAACACTTTTAATAAGATCATTTTAATCTACTTAAGTAGTTATTATTCTTAGGTTGCTTTAAATTTTTACTTTCTTTGCTGAATTAAAAATAGTAAACATATAATTTTCCTATTAATTTAACTTTCCAATTTTACAATTTAAGAAAATGTATTAATACAAATTTACTAATAAGATGAATTGGGAGTTTTTTTTTTGCATTGTAGGGTGGTCACACTATGACCCCATTGCCAGGCTGTACACCCACGAAGCCAGGAGCTGCCGTAAGTTTTTTTTCAGTATTCTTTTATTTGCAGAAACCGAAACAAATTAGCAACATTCGTTAATGTATTCTTATAGTGGAAAAAATCAGCAAACAAAGTCATTCTTACAACACATATGGACCAATGGCCAGTGGCGCCACAAGTGTAATTAGTACGTTTATCATGCTATCCTTGTATAATTATCAGATTTAGACAGCAATGTAGCTCAGTCGGCTAATCTGGTGGTATCCACTGTGTGTGAGCTGAACCGTGAAGATCTCTCGATCTCCGGTTCAATTCCCATCGCTGACTATCCTTGTGTTTCGGCTGGAGGACTGAAATACAAGTTAAAATAATGCACAGTCTTTCGCATGAGACGTTTAAGCTGTTGGTCCTGTGTGCATTTATGGCCCATGTGTACCTTAAATTACGCAGTACACTCTTTGGTATACTGCCCAATCACCACCAGAAGGACCCCACTGGAAATAAGTCTTCTTCTAGACTTTCGTGGGCTATCCTTGGTGTTTACACCGAATAAAGCCAATCCAATCCAATATATGATATTTTGATAAATTGCAGTGAGCATTCCCCAGTTAAGTACCCCTCCATCTGAACTGTGCATAATAATATGAGAAATATCGTAATTCAGAGAGTTCTTATTTTTGTGGCTCGTGGCATTGAGTAAAAACTGAACCTCATTCTCTATGAGTCACCCCCATCACTAGCCTGGCCAATAACCAAAGTAGTGGAGCCAATTAAAATCTTAAAATATCTACTCAATGTCCACTATCAGATTTTGGTCTCATCCCATATTTTGAGGATTGGGTTTAGCTAATATAGTTCTCATTGTACTGCATAGTGAAAACTATGACTGTTAGCACCTTGAATTTATATTTCAGACATTTCCCTTCTTTGGCATAGTGCCTGTACTTATGGATGAAAAAGGCAAGATAATTGAGGGTGAAGGAGAGGGATATCTGGTAAGTATTTGCTTCATTTTGATCACTTAACATTCGTTTATAATAAATTTTATTCAATCAATAACCTTACTTATATTTTTTACAAGTTTTATTTCATAGATTGAATGAAAACGCATCAATTCAAGCAAGCTTTTAGTTTTGATGCCCTTACAAAAAATAACAATAATAAATACATAGGAATAAAAAACATTGATTATGTTTGGCTAATTTAATCCTAATAATAACTATTCTTAAATTGATTATAATGGTGATGATAATAATGAGGATGATGATGATGATAACGATAAGGAAAATATTAATAATAATGACAATTTTATAATGTTAATGATATTAAAGTGATATTAAAGATAATAATTGTGGGCCATTTATAATCAAAAAATCAGTTAGCACAGATAAAGATTGATTGTTTTCTGTCATTTATCCAGGTGTTTAAGCAGCCTTGGCCTGGTGTTATGCGCACTGTGTATGGAAATCATCCAAGATATGAGCAAACTTATTTTACTCAATTCCCAGGGTATTATAAAACAGGAGATGGTAAATAAAATATGTACATATTTAGGCGAGACTTTTTTTCATACCTTGTTTAGCAAACCCACCGTTCGCAAACAATGATGAATTAGAATAAAAATAAAATTTAGGCCAATTAGCATACCCGCTAAATTTTTTTCAAAAAATTTAAATTTCAGAAAAAAATTAAAAAATTTTCTTTATACTTACTCCGATGCCTTAAAATCTCCAAAGATAAGATATGTAAATATCTTCCTAATTATATAAATTAAAACATTTAACTATCTCATTACTACACTGTTTACATTTACCAATAAAATTGTATTTTTATTTTCTCCTCCGTCTGGATATTTTGGGAAAACCATTTGCTAAATAAGAAAACAAAACTTTATTTTAATTTTTTTTCTGTCCTCCTCTGATGATCTTAAAAAAATAAGTTAGTGAAACAAGGAAATAAATAAAAGTCTCGCTTTATCACTAATATTTTAAGGTAGTGCCCAATATTTTAGACTTAACAATAAATTGTAAGAAGTAGTTCAATTTATTATTGGTTCCCCTATATATAGCCAGGCACTTACTACGCCAGATAGTGGTCGGCCGATACAGTTATATGAAGGAGGCCATAACGCACGCACAACAGTCATCAACAGCGTTACTTTGTCGTATGCTCACAGGGAGCAGAGTTGAATTTGTTGGCTGATTGTCGTATGACGCAGTGTGTACCCTGCTTATAGAACATTAGCAGTTGTGTGTAATAAAAGTGAATAAAGTTTGTAAACAGATAAAATCAAAAATGGTTAAACACTTTGGTTGTGAATTTTGGAGTGTAGTTTGTGCTGGACATGTAGTTGAGCCCCTGGGCTGTGATTACAATTTTATAAATTAATTGCTTGAACACAATTTGTTATAACCAGTAATAATGATTTCTTACATGTTTAAAGCTTACAACCAAGAGTCACTGCTGTCACTTAAATTGTATCATTACCCCTAGACAGTAGTACAGGTATCTGTGATTTCCAAGCAAAAATTATCATAGTAATGTTTTGTTAATTCTATGTTTCATTTGTATCTTTGAAGGTCATTGTATGGTTTATCTAACTTCATTGGCATTGAATATTCATGTTAAAATTTTACACCAAAAAAAAAAAAAAGAAGAAGAAATTGTTCACAACTTGTTTATACTTATTGTAGGTGCAAAGCGAGACAAAGATGGATACATGTGGATTACTGGTCGCATTGATGACATGGTGAATGTGTCTGGCCATCTACTTAGCACTGCAGAGGTGGAGTCTGCTTTGGTGGAACATGAAAAAGTTGCAGAAGCAGCTGTAGTCAGTTTACCTCACAAAATTAAAGGGGAAAGCTGTTACTGCTTTGTCACCTTAATTGATGGCTTTGATTTCACCAGTGAGTTGGTCACTGACTTAAAGTCTGCAGGTAAATATTTTTATACGAATGCAAAATTCTGTTTTCTAAATTATTTTTTAATTTTTTTTTAGAATCCGAATTTATATGGCGCATATCGCAAACCAAGGTATATACAAGGCGCTGGCAAACCAGCATAATTTTGTGCAACTTTCTCTGCTTTCTAGAAGTATTACAAGTCATGCTGCTTTACACACACAACCTAATACATTCAATGCCACACCATCCTACCAGGTACCCATTTATACTTTTGGGTCGAGAGAGGAAAAGCAAGTAAAGTGCCATGTCAAAGGACACAAGCAACACCTTACGCGCTGCACCACACACTCCTACAACAAAATTATACAATAATTATCCCTGTACACTCATAAGATGTCATGTCAACACCCTAATTAGTCATACCTTTGGGCCTGGCACATATGCCCTATGTATTCCAATGTAATTGTGTTTGCTCTGCTGCCCTCAATAGCAACATTTGTAATTGACGTAATTAGCTTACTGGTGTATAGTAGAGCGGCTAAGGAGAAAAATCGTGCACCTTTGGAAGAAAGCATGAAAGTTTCCACAGTGATACTATGATACCTAAGGATCATTTAAAAAAATAGACCCCAAAAAATAATCCGCTTAGTGGCCGCATCTTGAAATTTAAAATGGCCACCAAAATATTGGATTTTTATCAATGATGTTTTTGATCTACTTGTTTATTATATGATGCAAAAACGCTTCTAGACAGTCAAATACAAAAACTTTGCCCACCACAGGTGGGCAAAGTGCGGCCCGCAAAAATTAATTAAAACCCTATGTGTGCGGCCTGCCAAGCAACATTGGCTAGAAAACATCTTATTGTTTATGGGCAGACGCCGATTATGTAAAAAAAGTAACATTAAACTGAGAATAAAGTGGTGTAAAAGCAGTGCTTTGAGGATTTTGGAAACTCAATGGAAACATCAAAGTTTGGGTGCATTTGCATGCAGTTTGAGTGCATTTAGTTCTGTCTCTGTCATTATTTGATTAGTTATACCACAATGCTACGCAGCAACATTGATTCTATGTTGCTTCTTTATAATACAGGTATGACTTCTAGAGTATTCTTTGGCAAACAGTATATCAACAAACAGTATAAGGAAATTTTTTTTTTATTTGACAGGCTATTTCTGATACGATACTCATATCACTTTCCATTTAGTTGAGCTCTGTTTTCACCATTATTTAATTATATAAACAGA